TATATATATTAATTTTAATTTTGCTATATAAATAAATAAATAAATGTATATATATGTATATGCATGTAAGTAAGAATTTATGTTTGTATGATATGTATTCATTCTATCTTTATATATATATATTTATATATATATTTATTTATTTATTTACAGTTGTGTGCTAACTACAGAACTTATTTCTAAGCTTATATTTTTACAGAAAATTTTGTCTAATATATATATATATATAAACTTAATTTCAATTTTGCTATATAAATAAATAAATAAATAAATGTATATATATATATGCATATAAGTATGAATTTATGTTTATATGATATATATTCACTATATTTCGCTTAAGATGAAGAAGGACTGGTAGTAGCATTTTCTGACAATGATATGAGTAGTTTATAAACTCTACTTATATACGAAATTAATAAATTTATGTTTGTTTGTATATACGCTTGGTGTATCATGTAGGCCTAAATAATTTATGTATATATTCTTTCTTTCAATAAGGTGGGCCCTCAATTTTATTATTCTAAACTCTCAACATCAAGTTTTTACCTTTTTATCTACTGCTTCGTCTACATCAATGACATTTTAAGGTTGAATTTCTCTTCCTATTCTTGCTCTTGAAGAAAGGATTCGTAAGTCGATCTCTTCTGAATACGATGTCTGATTCCTCATAATGCCACGTTGGTTGGGATGATCCTCAAGTGATAAGACAAATTTCGCAAAAAATTGTAAACTTTCGTCTGTCATGCCACTTGATAGGCATCATCAGGACTAGCATCGACTATTTTGAGCACTTCAAGCTTACATCGAATCAGTGAAGTTAAAAGGGATCCGTTGTGGTCTGCTTGGAAAAGCAACCTAGATGCATCATAATCATCATGCAATTTAGCACTAAAGTAAATTGCATACAATAATACACTTGGGGTCACAATTTAGGTGAGTATCAAAAATATAGAAATAATGTGTGCACGTAATCATCAGAAACTTACATCTCAACAAATTAAAGTGAAAGCAAAATAATATTCATTACTCAGCTAAAATTAGAAAATTTACCATACTGCATACATTTAACAAGATTTATGCCATTATAAGTAGTATAGTGAAAAAGTAGA